AGACCTTATCTTTTTTTGAAATGGAGTCTCGCTCTGTTGCCCAAGCTGGAGTGCAGTGGTGTAATCTTAGCTCACCACAACCTCCGCCTCCCAGGTTCAAGCGATTCTCCTGCCTCAGCCTCCTGAGTAGCTGGGATCACAGGCACCTGCTGCCATGCCCAGCTAATTTGTTGCATTTTTAGTAGAGATGGGGTTTCACTATGTTGGTCAGGCTGGTCTCAAACTCCTGACCTCGTGATCTGCTCGCCTTGGCCTCCCAAGTGCTGGGATTACAGGCATGAGCCACCGAGCCCGGCTTTTTTTTTTTTTTTTTTTTAAAGCATCTCCCTGTCACTCATGTACTTCCTATCCCCCATTCCTGCCTTATTTTGCTCCCCTGGTAGTTATTGCATGGATTTTACTTAGCTTGTTTGTTGTCAGAATCCCCATGGAGGGCAGGGATCTGTTTTCCCTACTGTATCCCCAGAGCATAGCTCAGTGCCTGGCACATAGCAGGTGCTCAATAAATACGTGTTGAATGAATGAGTGACTTGAATTATTAACATAGGGAACGTGGGCTGGGTGTGGTGGTTCACTCCTGTAATCCAAGAATTATGGGAAGCTGAGGTAGGAGGATCGCTTGAGCTCGGGAGTTCAAGACTAGCCTGGGCAACATAGTGGAACCCTGTCTCTACAAAAAATACAAAAATTAGCCAGGCATGGTGGAACCTACCTGTGGTCTCAGCTACTTAGGAGGGAGGCTGAGGTGGGAGGGTCCCTTGAGCCGAGGAGGTAGAGGCTGCAGTGAGCTGTGATCCAGCCACTGCACTCCAGCCTGGGCGACAGAGCGAGACCCTGTCTCAAAAAAGAAAGACAGGAACCTCTGGCTCAGAGAGATGGGAAGGATGCAGGGATGAGAACCCAGGTCTCCGCTTCCGAGGCCCTGGCTCTTGCCACACTGTCTGACTGACTCTGGGTCGGCCAGGAGGTGCCCAGCAGGGCAGAGGACAGCAGCCAGGTCCTGGCTACCCTCAGGCCCACCACAGCCCTTGGCCCTTGCAGACCAGACACCAGTGGGTTTGACGGCCAGATAAGGAGGTGCCACCTGCTGGTGAGGGTGTGAGGGAAGCTGAGGCGGGGAAAGGAATCATCTAGTACCCTGACAAAGCCACGCAGACTTCACCACCTCTAAGGGCTACAAACCCCTTTGTTGGGGCAAAGTGGATGCAATGATGATTTTGAAAGTCTGAATGTTCTCAATTTTTCTGAATCAGGAGGATAATAATAACAATTCTAGCAGCTCACCCTGTGCCAGGCCCTGTTCTAAGCACTTTATGCATATTCACTTATTTAATCCTCACGTTATGATCACATTTAAAAATGGAAACCAGTCGATGCGGTGGTTCACGCCTGTGATCCCAGCACTTTGGGAGGATGAGGCGGGGAGAGATTGCTTGAGTCTGGGATTCTGAGACCAGCATGGACTGGTAAGACCCCATCTCTACAAAAAAATTAAAAAATTAGCCGGGCATGGTGGCGTGCGCCTGTAGTCCCAGCTACTCTGGTGGCTGAAGTCGAAGGATTTCTTGAGCCTAGGAGGCAGAGGCTGCAGTGAGTCGAGACTTTGCCACTGCACTCCAGCCTGTGTGACAGTGACACAGTGAGACCTTATCTCAAAAAAAAAAAAAAAAAAAAAGGAAACAAAGGCACACAGAGTTAAAGAGTTAAGTCTCAGGGCAACAAGAGTGCCCAGAGTTGTCTTAAAGAGTTAAGTCTCTTTAACTCTCTGTCAAGGTCACACAATGGGAAGCAGTGGACCCAAAAGTTGATCCAAGAAGCTGGCTACAGAGTTGTGCTTTAAACCAATAAACTTTGCCTTCTCTCTTGGGTTCTTTCTGAAGCCCTGACTCTCAACCCATCTTTGGTGAGCCTTCCCCAGCCCTAACCTGACAGGTGCTTTCAAAGCTTGGCTGTGGCACATTAATAAATTAATTCAACTCAGTAACTCAACAAACTCAAGTATTCTTTGTAGTGGACCCTGTGTTTTGAGGATACAGAATGAATGAGGTACTCATTAGGTCAGCCCTCCAGAAGACAGAAAGAAGACTGACAGGGCCACCTGTGGTGGCTCACACCTGTAATCTCAGTACTTTCAGAGGCCCAGGCGGTCGGATCACCTGAGGTCAGGAGTTAGAGACCAGCCTGGGCAACATGTGAAACCCCCTCTCTATCAAAAAATACAAAGATTAGCTGGGCATGGTGGTGTGCACCTGTAATCCCAACTATTGGGGAGGCTGAGGTGTGAGAATCACTTGAACTCGGGAGGCGGAGGTTGCAATGAGCCAAGATTGATCCACTGCACTCCAGCCTGGGCGAGACCTTGTCCCACAAAAAAAAAAAAAAAAAAAAAAAAGACGGACAAAAACCATACAACTTACAGACAGGGCAAGAAACCAGCAAGGGGTGCAAGAGTAGAAACAAGGGGCTTGCCTTAGAAATGGTAGTCAGAGCCGGAGAGGACAGTTAAGCTGAGAACTTACTTGTCTCTCCAGTCCCCACAAAACAATGTAAATGAATCCAAATTCTCTTCAGGCCTTGGGTTCACGGGATCTGAGCTGTGATTTGGCCTGAGCCTCAGTTCTTGCATCTGTGGAATGGGAATGTGACGGTTAGAAAAAAATGACAGGTCTGGCCGGGCGCGGTGGCTCAAGCCTGTAATCCCAGCACTTTGGGAGGCCGAGGCGGGTGGATCACGAGGTCAGGAGATCGAGACCATCCTGGCTAACATGGTGAAACCCCGTCTCTACTAAAAATACAAAAAACTAGCCGGGCGTGGTGGCGGGCGCCTGTAGTCCCAGCTACTCGGAGGCTGAGGCAGGAGAATGGCATGAACCCGGGAGGCGGAGCTTGCAGTGAGCCGAGATCGCGCCACTGCACTCCAGCCTGGGCGACACAGCGAGACTCCGTCTAAAAAAAAAAAAAAAAAAAATGACAGGTCTGGGCACGGTGGCTCATGCCTGTAACTCTAGCATTTTGGGAGGCCGAGGCAGGTGGATCACGAGGTCAGGAGATCGAGACCAGCCTGGCCAACAAGGTGAAACCCCGTCTCTACTAAAAATACAAAACATTAGCCAGGCGTGGTGGCGGGCGCCTGTAATCCCAGCTACTCGGGAGGCTGAGGCAGGAGAATCACTTGAACCTAGGAGGTGGAGGCTGCAGTGAGCTGTGACCGTACCACTGCATTCCAGTCTGGGCAACAGAGCAAGACTCTGTCTCAAAAAAAAAAAAAAAAAAAAAAAAAAGAAAAGAAAAAAATGAGAGACATGGGAAAGCCTTAGGAAATAAGGGAAAGGCAGTTTCCATGAGAATGCGGGTGACACTGAGGGACTTCTTACCTCCTAGGTTGCAGGCTGGGGGAGTTCCAGGAGGGCAGTTCCAGCCCAGCTGAGCTGCGCTCCTGAGAGGAGAACCAGAAAACCCCAAATTAGCCATTTATCTACAATAGAGCACAATTTCATCTTATCCACAATAGTGGCAAGAGAAAGGTCAGGGAATCCTTTCTCTTGAAGTCCTATAATCTCAGGCACCACCTGGGGTGTCTCAGGAGTGGGGTGGGGTGAATGGGAGGGATGTCAGTTATTACAGCAACCTATAACCATCCCTCTAGCATGAATGTGTCCAGAAAAGGTAGGGCTAGAAGCCAACAGAAGCTGTTACCATGACAACCCCCTCCCTAGACACTCCACCTCTGAGAGATTCTTAAAACATCCCCTGGCCAGGGGCGATGGCTCACACCTGTAATTCCAGTACTTTGGGAGGCTGAGGCGGGCTTAAGGCTGATCACTTGAGGTCGGGAGTTCAAGACCAGCCTGACCAACATGGAGAAACCCCGTCTCTACTAAAAAAAAAATTAGCCAGGCGTGGTGGCACATGCCTGTAATCCCAGCTACTCGGGAGGCTGAGGCAGGAGAATGGCTTGAACCAGGGAGGCAGGGGTTGTGGTGAGTCGAGATCGGGCCATTGCATCCCAGCCTGGGCAACAAGAGTGAAACTCCGTCTCCAAAAAAAAAAAAAAAAAAAAAAAAAAAATTTCCCCTCCTTGGTTGGGCTTGGTTCCTAGGGTCACTCGAAGGGGGCTTCTCTATTACCATAGTAACCAGGCCTTGACCTTGCCTGTTTCTCGTCCCCCAGAGGATGGTCCAGGCCCTGTAACCATAGCAACTGCCCCTCAGCAGAGCATCTCCTCCTCTAAATAAAAACACCTGGTTGGTTTGGTGCATGGGCCTCCCACAATGGGAAGGGGAAGACGGTTACCATGGTAATGCCAACTAGGTGGCTATGGGGGAGGGGCTGGGGAAGAGGTGCTTCTCTTAGAGATCAGCGTATTTGGGGCTGGGGTACTTTCTACCTGAATGCTAGGTGTGGGGGGTTGCCATAGTAACCAATGAGGAAAGGAGCAGAAGGACCACCAGGGACTTAGGTTACCTTAGCAACCTTCTCCTGGTGCAGAGTCCGAAGAGGTTTGGGGCTCCATAACCACAAAGGTGGAAGGGAGGGGAAGGCTGTCCCCCACCAACTCGCCCCCACCAATGGGGAAGGGTTACCATGACAACCGACCTGGCCAGGAATCAGAGAGGATGGGGCCACTGCTGGTCGCCCTTTCTCTCAGAGTAAAAGTAATTGTCCAGGAGAGTGATGTTTGGGTGTGGAAGGGGTAAGGCTCTTTCTCTGGGGCGGAGTAGGAGGAGGGGGGCAGAAAGTGGCCCCTTCCTCAGTCTCACTCCAGCGAGGGGGACCGTCGCGCGGGGCCTGGGTCTCCCTCGCCCTCCTCGGGGCGCGATCTCCCTCCCGCCGCCCCCTGCGCGGGCACGCTAGCCCTCGGGGTCGACCCGGGTGGGCGAGGCTCGTGCCCGGCCTCCCGCTCGCCGCCGGCCCCTCTTCCCACTGTCCTCCGCCAGGCGCGCGCGCGGTGGTGGGGTGTGTGTGTGTGTGGGGGGGGGGGGTGTTGGAGCGCCCGCGCAGGCGCGCGAAGCACAGCGGGCGCGCGGGCCGGCCCCGGGGCCTCCATGATGGAGGAGCGAGCGGCCGCCGCGGTTGCCGCCGCCGCCTCCTCCTGCCGTCCGCTCGGCTCAGGCGCGGGCCCTGGCCCCACTGGGGCGGCCCCGGTCTCCGCCCCTGCCCCCGGGCCGGGCCCGGCAGGTAAGGGAGGCGGCGGCGGAGGCAGCCCTGGGCCCACAGCGGGCCCGGAGCCCCTGAGCCTGCCGGGGATCCTGCACTTTATCCAGCACGAGTGGGCGCGCTTTGAAGCCGAGAAAGCCCGCTGGGAGGCCGAGCGCGCCGAGTTACAGGTGAGCGCCGTCCCGGGACCCCCGACCCCCCACCCGGCCCGGCCCGGCCCGGCCTCACCCGCCGCCGCCGCCGCCGCCATCTTGGAGCAATGGCCGCCGGGACGGCCGTGGGGGGGCGGGAGGGGACCGCGACGGTCCCGGAGGGCGAGTGAGGGGCCGTCCGAGGGGTGTCCTGAGGGCACCCCGGGTGGGAGGGGACCGGGACAGCCCCAGGTGGGAGTGGAGGGACCGGGGGTGGGAGGGATCACCGGGACCGGCCGAGAGAGAGGGGCCGTGGTACCAGAACTGGCTGGGAGTGGGACTGGGACTGGAACTGAGCGCGCTGGCCGCGGGGCTCCTGAGAGAGGCGACTTGGGCCCTGGAGGGGAGCCCAAGAGAACTCGGGAAAGGGTGTGGAGAGGAGCTGGAGGGGTCTGGGAAAGACCTGAGTGGTCTGTAGGAGTGAGCAGAAGCTCGGCGGGCGCAGAGGGACTCCCGACCCCGATCCCGGCCCTAGCCAGGTGCAGGTGGGAAGTAGAAGCGTCCGAGGGGTGACTTGGGACACACTGGGAAAGAGCGGATCCAGACCGGGAACCAGGAGGAGTTAGGGAGAGGAAGTCCGGGAGCCTGAGATGGGTGTGTTTCGGGGCGACTGGACAGTGGGCACGGAAGGATGGCTGTGTAAGGACCCGAGAGGTGGGAAGAGAGTTTCGAGGGGTCCAGGATGAAGGTGTGTGCCTTTCCCTCTTAGGGGAAACTCTGGGGATCCCGGGCATGTGTGGCTGCAGAGCAGGAGATGTACCCTAGGAGCCTGGGTGGGAGAACTCGAGAGTGGAAGTTCCACTTGGGGGTGTGCAGGAGTGGGCGCGATGGCACTGAGATGGGACGTGTGTGTAGGATGTAGGAAGAGAATCCTGAACTGGAGTGTGGGGGTGTCGGGCATGTCCAGTATGGAAGTGAGGGTCCTGGGATGGTGCCAGTGAGGACGAGTTAGGTGTTACCCTGGGGTGATGCTTTAGGGGGGAGAATTTTGTAGACCCCAAAGGCAACAGGAGGCATCTCAGAGAGAACGGGGGTAGGGTGGGGTTGGGGGGAAGGAGATATGTTTGTGGAAGTCCCGGGAAAAGACCCCATGGTTGGTGGGGTAGCTTGGGACAGGGATGTGCTCCGGGCTGATGTATGGAAGAGTCTGAAGAGTTGGGCTGGCGTTTGTGACCTCGTGGAGCATCAGGTCCATTGGCAGTGACTGGAGGATCATGGAGATGTCCGGATTTGAAGGGATCAGGAATGGCCCACTGGAAGTCTGGAGATTCTTGGACTGGGTTATTATTAGCAGAAATTGTCAGTACTTCCTTGTAGCAGGCCACGTTTCCCCTTCCGATTTGCCGTTTTCTATCTAGGGGAGCTGGCACCGAAATAAATAACTGATGAGAATTTTGTCGGTAGGGATGGGGTGCGGTGGTTCATGCCTGTAATCCCAGCACTTAGGGAGGCTGAGGTGGGAGGATCCCTTGAGCCCAGGAGTTCCAGGCCAGCCTGGCCAACATAGCAAGACCTCATCTCTACAAAAAAGTACAAAAATTAGCCGGGCGTGGTGATGTGCACCTGTAGTCCCAGCTACTCAGGAGGCTGAGGTGGGAGGATTGCTTGAACCCCGGAGGTTGAGGCTGCAGTGAGCCATGATTGCACCACTGCACTCCAGCCTGGGCAAAAGAGTGAGATCCTACCTCAGAAAACAACAACAACGAAAACGGCATTTTGTTCATAGGATGAGTAAAGACCTCAAGTAACTCTCCCCCTGCCCTCACTTGTGGTGGCTGAGGCTTGGAGCTGGGGTGGGAGCAGAATCCTTATGTAACTGCTCTCACTGGTGTCCCACTCTCTACTTCCGAAGCTCTTTCCCAGCATACATCTCATCAGATCTTCTCAGTGCCCCGTGATGTAGGCAGAGGCAGTGTCATTACCTCACTCAGCAATAACGGCACCAGCTGCAATTTAGTGAGCACATACCGTGTCTGGGGCTGTGTATCAAGTACTGCAGATACGAGCTGTCATTTCATTCTTGTGGCCTTCTGGGAGGGTAAAGGATATTCCCCCTGCCTTTAAAAAAAAATCACGAGGAAATGGAAGTTTTGAGAGGGTGATTTATCGAGGATCCCAGCAGATGAGCAGAAGGGCCTTTTTTTTTTCTTTTGAGACAGAGTCTCACTCTGTCACCCAGGCTGGAGTGCAGTGGCATGATCTCAGCTCATTACAACCACTGCCTCCCAGTTGCAAGCAATTCTCCTGCCTCAGCCTCCCAAGTAGCTGGGATTACAGGTGTGCACCACCACGCCTGGCTGATTTTTGTATTTTTAGTAGAGATGGGGGTTTTGCCACGTTGGTCAGGCTGGTTTTGAACTCCTGGCCACCAGAGATCCACCTGCCTCGGCCTCCCAAAGTGCTGTGATTACAGGTGTAAGCCACCATGCCCGACCGTCGGTGGACTTTTAAGCACATGTTCTGTACCTCTCTGCTACCCAGTACAGTTGAGAAAATTGGTTCAGGCAAGCGTAGTGGCCTCCCCAGGGTCAACCAAGCAGTCATAGCAGAGCTTGGACTGAATCTTAGCCTCTGGGATGTTGCACCAGTGCACTGCACAGCACCCACCACACCATCTTCTCATCCTGGAGGCTGATGAGAGAAAAGATGTTTATCCCCTCACTTAAGGACCCTTCTTGGAGTTTGAGAGGAACTAGTGTCTGGCATGGTGCCAGCACTGTCACTTTGCACTTTTGTTTTCTTTTATTGTTACATTAGTAAAACTTCAGACATCTCAGAGGGGTGTGTGTGTGTGTGTGTGTGTGTGTGTGTATACACATATATATGTGAGTGAAAAAGGAAAGTTCCTTCTCTTCATCCCTTTCTTGCTCTTCTCTCCCGAGAGAAAAGAGTTATTGTGTTTGTATAATAGATGAACTGCTGCTGTATGTATCATTTTGTGACATAATGTGTTTTGGTTTTCTTTCATATCAGCACAGAGAACTCTTTCTTAGCTTTTTGATAGCTGCATAGCGTCCCATGGGATGTTTACACCATAGCTGATTGAGTGTGACCCTGGTTGGTGGACTTTTAGATTTTTTCTAGTTTTTCTCCCCATCAGACATGGCTGCAGTGAGTACCCCTTATTCATGTGCGAGTGTGAAGCAGAACAGATGAGTGGAATAGTAGAATGGATGTGTTTATGAAACAGTGATTGGGCTGGGTGCGGTGGCTCGCGCCTGGAATCCCAGCACTTTGGGAGGCTGAGGCAGGTGGATCACGAGGTCTGGAGTTCAAGACCAGCATGGCCAGTATGGTGAAACCCTGTCTCTACTAAAAATACAAAAATTAGTCAGATGTGGTGGCAGGCGCCTGTAGTCTCAGCTGCTTGGGAGGCTGAGGCAGGAGAATCACTTGTACCTGGGAAGCGGAAGTTGCAGTGATCCGAGATCACACCACTGCACTCCAGCCTGGATGACAGAGCGAGATGCCATCTCAAAAAAAAAGAAAAGAAAAAGAAACAGGGATCGACTCTGCCATGTTGACCCACCAGTTTACTCTCCCATCAGCAGCACCTCTTTTACATACCTTTACTTGAACACTTAGCGCTAACAGACAGTGTGACTTCCCCCGTGAGATCCCTTAAGACCTGGGCAGTGTCAGATTTTCCTGATGGACTCTGAATAACTTTTCTGTGAAGAGCTTAATGTAGCTGCTCCTAGCAGAAGACCTGCCGTGCGACCCTGCTTGGTACACGGGTGTTAAATGGCAGGGAAGGCAGCCCTTCGGGAGGTCCTGGCAGTAGGCGCCGTAAGTTTGGAGCAGGAAGGTGGTGGAGCTTCAGTCTAATAATGAGCAGGCATTTGCTAGGTGGGGGATTCTGAGAAGTAGGTGATGCGGTTTTTGCCCATCCGAAACTCCCAGGCTGGCAGAGGAAGCTTGTCCGTGCAGGGGCCGCAGAGCTGTAGATGTTCACGCGCAGCTGATTGTGTGGCTCTGCCCCGTTCTGTGGCAACTCTGAGAGGGGAAGCTTGTTGTGGATAGGAGGGACGTTTTAATGAGGGATCTGAACTGGAGATTTGTATAGGAGCAGTGACAGGGAGCTGCAGTGAGTGCGGTGCCAGCAGAGAATGTGCGGAGCTGTCCTCTCCCCACTCCAGCTTCCTGGGGGCTCATCCCTGCCAGCAGCTGTTGAAGCTTGGGAAGGAGCCCCTTAGGAGGTGCAGGGCTAGGTGACAGGGAACGGGAACTCCTCCCAGGGAGCTGGGACAGGAAGCAGCGAATTCAGAGAGGCATCAGCTCCTGGGAGGACTGAATTGCTAGGACTCCTCTGAAGCCTTTAGATGTCGCCTTGCTGGGAATAGCTGGAGGGGCGGAGAGGCAGTAGCTACCAGGTATCAGAAGGTTTTGGGGGCACGTGCTTTGTGGCTCTGGCCAGAGGGAGTGGCAGTGGGTGGGTGTGATAAGCAGTGGTGAGCGGCACTTCCAGATCCCGGATTGACCCTACCACAGCCCCTTGGCACTTGCAGACCAGGCAGCCAGTGGGGACTGCTGGCATCTGCAGCGAGGGAAGGACTGGCCACTGATGCTTCCCGTTTTTGTTGGGTTTCCACCTCCCTGAGGCGCTCCAACCACATCTTTCTGGTTCTGTTTCCAGAGGCACTGGAAAAGGGACAGCAAAGCAGGGTGGGCGGCTGAGACCCTTACGTCCTCATTAGGAGGAGGGAGACTATGGCCCAATGAGGCAGCAGAGGGATGAAGGGGGAACCCAACCAGTGACAGGTCTGGGTGGGATGCCCGACTCTGCCTTCCGCCCCCACAGATAGACCTCCAGTGTGCCCCCGTCCTAGTCCGGGCCACTGCCGTTCTGTCCTGGGATTTCTGGGACTGCCCTCATCTGTGATGGGGGTCTCTGTGTCCAGCTCTGCCGCTCTCCTGCTCCCTCGTCAGTTCTCCGTGTTTTAGCTGGGGCTGCCCTTGTAACATGCGAATCGGTTACCTCTCTCTACTTAAAACCCTTCCATGGCTTCCCTGAGCCTTTTACACATTCTGAAGCAGCCATCCTGGCCTTTTTAGAGTTCCTTAAGCCCACCGTGCTGCTCTTGCCTCCGTCCTCTGCCAGCAGGGCCCTTCCCTCCCCTGGCTAACTTCTCTTCAGCTTGAGGCCTTAGCTGAACTGTCGCCTCTTGTCCCTCCTCCCATAGCATCCTTCACTCCCACAACGGGGTCTAGTCATATTGCGTGTGAGCTGCTGCTCATGTCTGTCTCCTGCACGGGACTGAGCCCTGTGGGTGCAGGAACCACGTGGCTCCTCTGTTATTGCCCAGTGCCTTACTGGGGCACCTGATGCGTGTGGGCAATCACCAAACAGTGGCAGGTGTTGACCAAGGTGTAGGTTCCCAGCAGGCTGAACTGCCCCGGGAGGTTGAGGAATCAATCACCAAAGCCCAGGAGGGCACAGAAGAGAGTGAGGAGGAAAGTCAGAGCTTGTCTTTGGTGGTTGGTCCGCCTCTCCTCACACCTTCTCCAGTGATTCAGAGAGTAGATTTGGGGGACCGAGAAGATACACGAAGGACAGAAACTCACGCCTTAGAGATGTTGATGTCAGATAAGTAGTTTCCCTATCTGGCCTTGGATGTTTATATACATATGTGTTGGTAAAAAGTGTTAAGAGGGAAAAAAAATCCCATTCTTGAAGCGGACAGATGAGGTTCTTTTCTATAAGGTAACTGGTGACATGTATTTCTTTTTTTTTGAGACAAAGTCTCGACCTGTCACTCAGGCTGGAGTGCAGTAGCACGATCTTGGCTCACTGCAACCTCCACCTCCCAGGTTCAAGCGAGTCTCCTGCCTCAGCCTCCCAAGTAGCTGGGACTTCAGGTGTGTACCACCACGCCTGGCTAAGTTTTTTGTATTTTTAGTAGAGATGGGGTTTCACCATGTTGCCCAGTCTGGTCTCGAACTCCTGACCTCAAGTCATCTGCCCACCTCAACCTCCCAAAGGGCTGGGATTATAGGTGTGAGCCACTGTGCCTGGGCAATCCACAGACATTTCTACTTGATCTGGGGTCTCCAAGGGATCCTGCCTCCTGTAAGGAACTGGGCCCATTTTGGATTTGTAAAAAATGTACATGGAGAGTAAAAGTGATAAGAGAAGGAGAAGCTGGCATTTGTTAGCCTTTATTCTGTGCCAGGCCTTGGACTGAGCAGAAGCTAGCACATGAGGGGAGGGCACTCTTATGAGTCTCATTTTCTGGAGGGGTAAATGGAGGCTCAGAGAAGGCCGATGACCTGCCTAAGATCATGTAGCGAGTAAGTGTCTAAGTTGGGCCTGGAGCTCTGGCTATTCTGGGCTGGAATGGTGGGGTGCTTGGGCAGAAGCCAGAGATGAGCCCTGGGCCAGGGCTTTGGCACAAGGGCTTCTGGACCATGGTCAGAGGCCAGGATCCTGCCTGGAAGGCAGTGGGCCCAGTGTCTCTAAATGACTTGTTGACAGACTGGAGCAGACAGGGCAGCTCAAGCCAGCAGACGGTGTGAAGTGCTTGGCAGGAACCCGGGGTCGTGTCTGTGGCACATTTCTCTCACACCCTGGGCAGAATGCAGTGGGACGGCTGGTCCCACAGTGGGCTTGGCTTGTAAAGCTTTTGTATTGGAGCGGGAGCCGAGCCAAGCCACCCACTCTTGTCTCAAAGCTCCAGAAGTAGCTTCCCACGCCTCCCAGAGACAGATGCTCTGGTAAGAATAGTGGGACACCACCTCCACCAGTAGCCTTAGGGACAGCACCTGCCAGAGGGTGTTGGGGGGAGTCCAGGGCAGTGAATGCCCACCGTCCTCTCCACTGCCATCCCTGACCCGACTTCCCTCCAAAAGCAGCCAGCAAGTGAGGCCTAGGCTGTCCCCATTGTCATCTCAGGATTTAAGGGCTCCCCTTCGGCCCTCGTTGTGGATGACGTGGCAGGGGGCCCTGGAAACAGATCCAGCCTGTCTTCTCAGTGCTTCCTGAACCCTGGCTCGGGGTCTTTGTGCTGAGGAAGTGGCTGCCGCCCATCACTGTGGGGTGGCTGTGGGCTGGTACTGTACCTGGATGAGTGACGGACACACCGGCAGTGAGCCTGAGCCCCGTAGTCTTCATTTGCCTCCTGTGTGCCCTCCCAGGCCCAGGTGGCCTTCCTCCAGGGAGAGAGGAAAGGGCAGGAGAATCTGAAGACAGACCTGGTGCGGCGGATCAAGATGCTAGAGTATGCGCTGAAGCAGGAAAGGTGAGCCTTCGTCCTGCCCCGGGCCTGCCTTCTGGGTCCATCTCAAGCACAGCGTCAGGAGGCCACCAGCCACGCCTCCTTCCAGCTGAGGGAGATTTGGGGTCGACATTCTTTTCCATCATTCCAGTACCATAAGGTTCTAGGAGAGAAACAAGACAGAGTAGGTGGGATTCCGGCTAGACACCAGGAACAATATTCACGATGCTGGTGGTCCACTGTGCGCCAAATATTGTATAGTCCTTACCTCGGTTATCCCTTACCCCTTCCCGTAGCCTAACGGGTATTGTTAGCCCTGTTTCAGACGAGGAACTGGGGTTTCAAGGGCTGATGGTTTCTTCAAGGACCCCTGAGACTAGGGGTCTCAAGTTGCCTGACTCCAGGGAGTGATCTCTTCCACCAGGCCAGGGCTGTGGGGGAGGCTGCAGCCTCAGTGGTAGGAGACCAGTTGTGGGAGACCCTGTGATTTGGGGTTTGGGATTCCGGATTCCTCAGGTAACTACTGACCCTGTCTACTCTCCCGCGTCCCTTATTCATTAATCATTTGCTCTTTTAGGGCCAAATATCATAAACTGAAGTTTGGTACAGACCTGAACCAGGGGGAGAAGAAAGCAGATGTGTCAGAACAAGGTACCCACCCTCTGATGCTCGCGCGGTCGGCGCCCTCCCGTGGACGCGGAGTGTGCTGGAGAAGCAGGAAGATGGGGTGCCTCTTTCTCACTTTGCTCCTTAGAAGGCAGAATCGGCCCCGGGGCTGGGGAGGGGCGGATTCTCACTCTCAGAGCCCTCCCCGTGGGCTGCCAGGTCCTGTGCTGGACCCTGGGGGCCAGTCCTGCTTGCCGTCCCCCTGTGCAACAGAGGCAGACACACGAGCAGCTCACGGGATCCCTTTGCGAGGAGTGGGCGCCAGGACTATTTATAGAGCGCTGGGGACGGTGCGGGAAAGCCAGGGAAGACGTCACTGAGGAGGTGGCGTTTGAACAGGGTTGCCATTCAGTCGTTCATCCAAAAAAGACTTTATTTGTGGGGTACAGGCTTTGTATCACAGGTCAGGGATACAGCAGAGAGCACGGGAGACGTGGTTCCTACCCTCTGGTCCCTTAGAGTCTAAGCTCCTTCAAAGATGACTCTGTTCCCCAGCAGGAGAGTCAGGGGAGACAGCACAGATGCAGAGACGCACGCTGAACGAGTTAGAGGATAGGGAGTCGGTCACTGTGACTGGGCAAACGGTGTAGGGCAGAGGATGTGGGAGGGCGGGCCGGGTGAGGGGAAGCTTGGCTGAGGCAAGCTGAGAAGACCTTGTATGCTCAGCTGATAGTGATGGTCATTACCTGCTGCCAGCTCTTCTCACTGGAACGGAAGTTCCACAGGGGCAGGTCTTTGTTGACCCGGGTAGCCCAGGTCCCTAGCCAGGCACGACGTAGATGCCCAGAAAAGACTTGAATAAAATACTAAGCAAATTACCTCATTGCATCCTCCCAGCACTCCCAAGAGGGAGATGCTGTTATCATTAAGCTGATTTCTCAGAGGATGAAACTGACACCGCTTACCCTAACTCAGGGTCACACAGCTGGGATGGGGCAGAGCCGGGCTTGAACCCTGTCGGCCCTTCTCTCAGAACCAGGCGAGCTCTCTGTGAAGGAAAATGACAACTCGCCAGAGTTTTGAGAAAAAGCCCTTATCTTGTTGGGGGCCAGTTTGGGGAACCACGAGTCAGGAGACCTAGAGATGAGGACCGCTTCAAGGAGGAGGCATCCCCACGTGGGGGAAGAGAGCAGGGTTCCAACACTCAGGAAGTGACGCCACAGGACCCGTGACAGTGACCGATTTGGGTTGGAGGGGTGAGGAGGATGGAGGAGGTGATGGGTAGGTGGCAGTGGCCTGACTAAGACAGCCTCCGTTCTCTTACCCGCCAGTCTCCAATGGCCCCGTGGAATCGGTCACCCTGGAGAACAGCCCGCTGGTGTGGAAGGAGGGGCGGCAGCTTCTGCGACAGTGAGTGTGCTGGGGAGTGGGGCTGGGGACACTTGGCACATTTGGCTTGAGAGAGAAGTCCAAAGGCTCCACAGTCCTTGTGTGTACCCAGTGGGGACGCTGAACTATCAATATCTTAGCCCGCCATGGCTGGAGTGGCCTTCACCCTGTGGGCGGAGCCTGGCCTGGGGAGAGGAGGGAAACGCACTGCAGGAGGCGGACATGGGAACGCCCCCATTGGAATGTGTCCCTGAATGCCTCTGTGGCTTTTTTATTTATTTTTTTAATCTCGGTGGCCATAGGAGCCCTGTGGCTTTTTTTTTTTTTTCAATACCTTGTGAAGATTTATGAAGTGTGGCTTTTTATTCCCCAAGGGTAATATTAAATTATTTTTTATTTGTTAATTAGTTTTTTAAAGACTATTCAGGCCAGTGTGGTGGCTCATGCCTGTAATCCCAGCACTTTGGGAGGCCAAGGCAGGTGGATCACCCGAGGTCGGGAGTTTGAGACCAGCCTGACCAACGTGGAGAAACCCCGTCTCTTCCAAAAATACAAAATTAGCTGGGCGTGGTGGTGCATGCCTGTAATCCCAGCTACTCGGGAGGCTGAGGCAGGAGAATCGCTTGAACCTGGGAGGCGGAGGTTGCAGTGAGCCGAGATCACGCCATTGCACTCCAGCCTGGGCAACAAGAGTGAAACTCTGTCTCAAAAATAAAATTAATCAAATGCAGTAGTGAGAAGTGGGGAGAGGGCAGATCTGTAAGTAGGTTTGTAATTGACTGTGAATGATCACAGTAACTCACCATGTTTGAACCAGAAAATTATTAATGTTATTATTATTTTTTGAGACAGTTTCCACTCTGTCGCCCAGGCTGCAGTACAGTGGCACGATCTCAGCTCACTGCAACCTCTACCTCCCTCCACCTCAAACGATTCTCCTGCCTCAGCCTCCTGAGTAACTGGGATTACAGGCAGGTGCCATCACGCCCAGCTAATTTTTGTATTTTTTAGTAGAGATAGGGTTTCACCATGTTGGCCAGGCTGTTCTCAGACTCCTGAGCTCAAGTGATCCGCCCGCCTCGGCCTCCCAAAGTGCTGGGATTACAGACGTGAGCCACTGCACCTGGCCAAATTATTACATTATTATTATTACTTGAGACAGAGTTTCGCTCTTGTTGCCCAAGCTGGAGTGCTATGGTGCAATCTCGACTCACTGTAACCTCTGTCTCCCGGGTTCAAGCAGTTCTCCTGCCTCAGCCTCCCTAGTAGCTGGGATTACAGGCACGCAGCACCATGCCCAGCTAATTTTGTATTTTTAGTAAAGACAAGGTTTCACCATGTTGGCCAGGCTGGTCTTGAACTCCCTAACCTCAGGTGATCTGCCTGCCTCGGCCTCCCAAAGTGCTGGGATTACAGGTGTGAGCCACCGCACCTGGCCTCAAATTATTAGTTTTTAATTGCTGAAGAGATTTGTGCATTTTAGAAAACTTTAAAAATATAGGAGAGCAGAAAGAAAAAAAAGATTACTCACAATTCCTCTGCTCAAGAAGTTTCATACCCCTATAAACATTTTGCCATATATGGTCTCAGTTTCTTCCTTGGCTGTGTATTTTTGCCTCTGTTATCTTAATAAACTCACTCTGTCACCCAGGCTGGAGTACAGTGGTGCAGTCACAGCCCACAGCAGCCTTGATCTCCTGAACTCGAGATCCTCCTGCCTCAGCCTCCTGAGTAGCTGGGACAACAGGCATGAGCCACACTGCTCAGTTTATGTATTTCATTTACTTATTTATTTATTTATTTATTTTTTTTTAATGTTTTGAGACAGAGTCTTGCTCTTTCACCCAGACTGGAGTGCAGTGGCACAATCTCAGCTCACTCTAACCTCTGCCTCATGGGTTCAAGTAATTCTCGTGTTTCAGCCTCCCAAGTAGCTGGGATTACAGGCGTGTGCCACTACACCTGGCTAATTTTTGTGTTTTTAGTAAAGACAGGGTTTTACCACGTTGGCCAGGCTGGTCTTGAATACCTAAGCTCAAGTGATCCGCCTGCCGTGGTCTCCCAAAGTGCTGGAATTAGAGGCGTGAGCCACCGTGCCCAGCCCAGCTTGTATATTTTATAAAAGCTGGGATTTGTTTTCACCATTAAGCGTTGCGAACATCTCTCCATATAAATTAGTTATGTTGCATCATTTTGAGGACCTTATAATTTCCTTCCTTTGGTCCTATGGAGAATTATAATGTCTGTCATATAGATAACCGTAACTCTCCATGGCCAGTTCCTTATATTTTGTCGAGGTTACTTTTAATTTTTTAGTATTATAGACAATGTGAAAAAAATCGGGAAGGCATTTGTGCATATCCTTGATTTACTCAAGTTAGATATCTGGAAGTGGGGTTGCTAGCTTAAAGTGTGTGCAAACAATAACCCTAAAACAATAATAGTAATACTAACAGGCTACACTTACCAAGTACCTGTTATGTGCCTGGCACTGTGCTAAACATTTTCCACCTGTTGGCTCCTCACTGAGATCTCTGTGTGGTATAATGCTAGTATTCCCCTCATGAGAAAAGTGGGATGCGGAGAGGTGATCTGTTTACACAAGGTTGCATGGTTAATTTGTGGGATCTTAGGCAATCCGCCCCCCAGTGCCGAGTTTTAAAGCCCCATGCTTCCCTGTCTCTCTTGGTGGGGAGATAGGAGCCTCAGACACACACAGGTGCACAGGATGAGACGTACATGCAGGTGTGTGCAGCCTAACATTCGAGAGGCTGGGTCAGGGCTGCGAAGGGACAGGGAACAGCAAAGGCCTCCTGGCCAGGAAGCCTCCTGAGGACTAGCAAGGGACTGTTGTCTCTGTATTTTGAAGCCGCAAATACCCCAAATTGATTTTTGTTCTTTTTTCCTTCTTCTTTTTTTACTTTTAGTCCAGTCCCCAGCTGGCTTCAGTTTTTAAATTGCAGAAGTAATAAGTGCTCATTTGTAGAAGTAAGTAGAGTAAGTTGCAAAAGTTCCTCTTACGCCTCTAATCCCATTCTCCAGAGGTCGCTGCTGTTACGTTTTTTTATGGATCTTTCTAGGCCTCTTGGGGGACATAATACAAACGTGTGTTTGTGTGTGGTGTAAGCTTTATGCACATTAACGCCTTTTTGTTTTTTTTTCTACAAACATTGGCATCATGTGGATCATAGAACTTAGCGTTTTCGTTCTGCTGTTTACCGTGGCCAGCTTCCCTTCAGGCTCTGCCCTGTTGATCTCCTGCCTCGCAGCGCTATGAGTCATTTGCTGACACAGCCCCTGTCGGTGGGTGCTGAGGCTGGTCCCTGTGCTTCAGCTTCCCTATACGGCAGTGCAGGGAGCACCCTCACACATAGCGTTGTGTGTGTGTACAAGAGCTTCCATTGGAAATAGCCTTGACGGGGAACAGCTGGAGCGAGGGTGTGCTTATGTCAGATTTTGGCGTATGCTCTTAAGTGGCCCCTTACGAGATTGTCTCAGTTTGCATTGGCCCCTGCAGTACATGAAGAAGCCCGGGGGATGTCTGACCCGCATGGCTCTGCACCCCTGCAGGTACCTGGAAGAGGTGGGCTACACAGACACCATCCTGGACATGCGGTCCAAGCGCGTCCGTTCCCTGCTGGGCCGTTCGCTGGAGCTCAACGGGGCAGTAGAGCCGAGTGAAGGGACCCCCAGGGCTCCACCAGGCCCTGCGGGGCTTAGTGGCGGGGAGTCGCTGCTGGTGAAACAGATCGAGGAGCAGATAAAGAGGTAAGCCCTTGGGCCTGGCAAGTGTGTCTCTCTGTTCCTCCTGACTGCTGGTGAAGGCCAGGGTCAGAGCATCCGCTGATGGCGCTGGGTGCCCTGGTGGCCCCTCCTCCTGGAGTATGCCGTGGGCTCCCTTGTTCCGAAACCCCCGGTGCCTTTACTGCTGGGATTCCCCTGGATTCTGTCCTGAGTACCCTCCACACACTTGCCCACGGCCTCATCTCCAGTGCTGCCCCCGTCCTGATACTCAGGCCTGCCCACTCCTCAGTCGCATGGGGTGCCTACTGAAGGCAGACCCTGGGTGTCTTGCTAGCAGGGAGTGGAGTACACGTGGTTGCCACCCTCAGGAAGCTCTGGCTTGTTCATTGTCATCAGCAGTTGTCAGTTAAGCAGAACAAGTGAGGCCACGTAGGTGATGCTAAGCACGATGAAGACCACAGGGGCCAATACGTGCGTCTCTCTGGGGGGTGGGCAGGGAGGGCCTCTGTGGGCATTAAATGGAGGGTAAGCCACATGAGTGGCTGGGAGGAGAATGTGCTAGGCAGAGGGCACAGTGAACCCCAAGGTCCAGAGGCAGGAGAGGCACAGCCTGCACAGAAGCAGCATGAGGCTGGCGTGGCTGCAGGCAGCGAGGCATGGGCTATGGGGAAGTTGTGGTCTCAGGAGTCAGTAACTCAGGGCCTTGGGCTGGGATAGAGTCTGGGTTTAACTCAGGGTTGTGGGAAGCCAGTGGTTTCGAGCAGGGGAGTGATGTAATCTGACGTACCTGATCTACTCCGAGAAGGAAGGGGGCTGTAGGAGGGTCACAGAGGAGGCGGGGGGGACCAGTTTAGAAGATAATGTCCCTGTCCTGGACAGAGCTGAAGGACCTTAGCGGTGGCAAGGCGAGAGGTGTCATCCTCCCCAGAGGCCTTTGGGCAGTCGACACTGAAGGACTGCACCTAAGGGGAGAGGAAAAGAGACGAGCGACTTCAGGGTTTGGTGTGAGCCTTTGGAGCAGCGTCCTCTGAGACGGGGAAGCCTGGGAGTGGAGGTTCTGGGGGCCGCCGAGGTTGCGTGAAGTGTCAGGGGCCTGTTTACCTCCACGTGGAGAAGCAGAGCTCGTCTGGAGCTCGGGGGCATTTGAGCCCTAAACATAGCTCTAGTTGAACAAGCACATGGGCATTCTCTGGAAAGCCATGGCCGTCTGCAGTGCCTGCAGGAGTGAGTGTAGATGGTGCAGAGAAGAGATCTGAGGACTGCCCAGGTGCTCTCCCGCTTCGAGGCGGGAGGGAGGAGCAGGAGGAGGAAGCAGAGAAGGAGGCTGAGCCCGTGCAGCATGTCATTGTCGTTGTGGGAGGAAGGCCTGTGAGAACGGAGTCCTGTGTCCCGCTGCGAGTGCAGCGAGTGTTCTGCGGAAAGAGTGGAGCTGTGGGGATGGCACCTGTGAGGCAAGAGGGTACATCTGCAGTGACCTCTGCAGCCATTGGTAACTGGCAGTTGACAAGACCTCCAGGGCATCAACCTGATGGCAGAAAGGGGGAACGTTTTGCATCCATCTGTACTTTGAATTCCACCCTGCCTTCTCCCGCAGTCAGGCTGGGTCAATACCTCCTCTGCTATAACTTGACATGAAGTTGGAAGCCAGGAGGTGGAAGGAGGAGTGCCATCTGTTGCTGGGGATAGTGCAGGCTCCTGGATAGTAGGGATCGCCGGCGCCCCTCCCTGCGCGAGGCTGGCTGGCTTTCAGTGCCTCGCCGAGCATTTGTAGAATGGCCGTTTCCTCTTTCCTGCAGGACATGCTTGCCTCCTGCCTGACCTGCCCTTGTGGTCTGACTGGGCTGTGGGAATGGTGACTGCTGAGTCAGTGGCACTTTCTCATCCAGCTTTCCTTCTGACTCAGCATAGGATGGAGATTTGTGGCCAGGGTTGGGGGCTGGCCCTCTGAAACTCAGGTCGGTGGTCAGTGAGGAGCTAGGCTCCGTTTGCGGTCTGAGTGAGGCTTGCAGTTGGAATGAGCATGTGTCGGGCAGAGGCTGGGGTTGGGGCTCTGTGTGTGAGCAGAGTCAAGGCTGCTCGGGGCTTTGAGGGTTAGCTGGGTCTGGGCTCTGGCCACCAAGTCTGGGCAGGCACCTTCCCATCTGAGCTTTGACCCCTGGCAGGACTCATGCCTCCTCTGCTCCGCTGTCTTTGGCAGGAACGCGGCAGGCAAAGACGGCAAAGAGCGCTTGGGCGGCTCAGTGCTGGGGCAGATCCCCTTCCTGCAGAACTGCGAGGACGAAGACAGCGATGAGGACGATGAGCTGGACAGCGTGCAGCACAAGAAGCAGCGTGTGAAGGTGAGCCCTTCCTCCGTGCCCTGCACAGCCTGGCCTGGGTGTGACCTGATCGAGGCCCTTCCCAGAGTCAACTTGGGCCTTCAGGGGCTGCGGTGTGTGCTGACAGCAGGGATATAGAGACACACAGGCCCTGGCCTGGAGGAGCTTGTGGCCAGCAGCGGCCTTGTAAATACTCATGTGCAAAAGGACGTGTTGTGGTGGAGGCAGGGGCATGTGCCCATGAAGGAGGGACCTGTGGGAGATGGCCTCGGAGCTTTCCCTGAGCCCCGGGCTTCCCATTAGCGATCCCTTTGCCTGGGTTCCCTTCCTTTCTTCCTTTAGACTCAGCTCAGACACCCCCTCCTCCAGGAAGCCTTCTCTGACTCACCCTGGGCTCCCTTCCCTGGCCCTGGCCACTCTGGGATCCTCCCTGTCTGGTCTGTATCCCTCCTGACCCCTCCCCAGGAGGGACTGGGCCTGTCTGGGCCTCCATTCCGTCTCCAGTGTCCCAGTGTGGCTCAGCACAGAGTCGCACTCCAAGTGGAGTGGTGCGCACGGAGCCACAGCACTGCAGGAGGTCTAGAGGAAGAGCAGGAGGGCTGTGAGTCCAGGGTCTCAAATGCTGGCCCCTGGTCCAGACGCTTGGTCCTTCCTGTCCCTCTGAGAATTTCTAGTCCTTTTCCACCCCTCCACCCATTCTATCAGGAATCATCTGTGGTGTTTGCACCCCTTTAGGCCCACACCCTTGGGGCTGGCTGGTTGGGTAGGGCTCTCCGTCTCCACACAGCAGCCCTCCAGCGAGGCCCAGCTGGGAACCCAGGGGACTGCCATGGCTCCCAGGCGGCCCTGGTCCAGCTGTGTGAGTTCAGGCCCATGCTTCTTTGTCTTGGCTTCAGTCTCCTCACCCTTTAGATGGGGCTGAGTCCCTCTGTCTCGGTTGTTGAGGATTTAATTAGCATGAGCTGGTGCCCAGGAAGCCCTCAGCTGCACGGTGGCCGTCCCCCAAGTGCTCATTAGGGGTTAGTCGGTGGCGCTGGTGGCACTTGGTAGTGGTGGAGCCCTCATGGTTCCAGGCACTATTAGCGAGCACACTTGCCACTCGTGTGCCCCTCAGAGCACCTGTGGTGGTTTCCTCTGGAGTCCTAAGCCCGGCTGCTGCCTTTCTGGGCATGCTGTCTATAAACCCTCCCCTTCCCCATTCTTTCTACAAGTGTTGAATAAACCTTGGCCCTAGGTCTTCTCCGTGTCCCTTCCCTCTGGTCCCCCCCAATGCAGTTCAGAGCCTGGCCCCTTAGTGCTGCCCGAGAGGTGTCACCAGACTCAGCCTGGGGGGCCGACATGTGGAAGGGGCCAGCCACGCCCTGGAGGAGTTCACGGTGGGCAGAGCTTGACCTTGGTGACCTGGGGCAAGTGGGTTCCCGCTACTCAGCCTGTCTCCTGGCCTATAATGTGGGAATGATAACGACAGTGTTTACGGTAGCTGTTCACAGATTTGGGGGTTAAGTCGTGTCTGCGAGGTGTAGTCAGTGCTCATTCAGTGAGTGGAATTTGCTCTTGTGCCAGCACAGCAGCCAGTGCTGTGTTTATGGCTGCAATGCTGTGGTCCATTCGTCCTCACTTGTTTGCATCTCCATATATTCACATACGGACACTAGTGCATATCTGCTCTCCCCATAGGCAGATTGTTGCATTATCTGACTTTTCTTCTTCCGAGGCACCGTCCTGGGGAACTGGAGCAGGCTGAGCCAGGGCTAGGCCAAGGGCTGCGTGAGGGTGGTTTCAGGCCAACCGGCCCTAGTGGTAGCAGCTGTCCAAGGCCCAGCAGGGGGCGCTGCAGGGCAGCTGGCTAGCAGCTGAGGCAGCCCCATGAGCAGAGACAGGCCCAGAGCCCCGGCTTATCTGTTCGCAGGCATTGAGGAGGCTTAGTCTGTGGACAAGAGGCCCCCTGACTTGTCTGGCTTTCTCCATGCCCCAGCTCCCATCCAAGGCCCTGGTGCCCGAAATGGAAGACGAGGACGAGGAAGACGACTCCGAAGATGCTATCAATGAGTTTGATTTCTTGGGCTCAGGAGAGGATGGGGAAGGGGCTCCAGACCCTCGGCGGTGCGCTGTGGATGGGAGCCCCCATGAACTGGGTGAGCTGAGATTTTCTGGCCAGCTCCTGCTTGCCTTCCCCGCTGAGGGAGTGGGAGCAGGCCCAGGTGCCTGCAGCCGCTTCCTGTGCAGGGTCTCTCCACCGGACGGATATGTTTCCTGAGAGCAGGGTAGCCAAGGAGAGCAGGAGGCCCAGGCCGTGGCCGCCGGCCGCTCACCCCTTCCCTGGAAAATCCCTGTGGAGACGCAGGCAGGCTTGGCTCTTCCTGAAGTGGGGCTGCCAGCCCTCCCGGGCGGGCGTCTAGCTCTGGCTGGCCTCAAGGAGAGAACAGGATGAGGACCCAGTGGGGGAGAGGCAGGTGGGAGGGCCACGTCTTCCTCCCTGTCCTGTGATTCCCAGCTAGGAGGGCTCTCAGGTCACATGGCATGGATGGCTGGGGCCTGAGGCCTAGGCAAGGCAGTGACCTGCCCACTGCCCCACGGAGGGGCCCAGTCAACCTCCTCTCCTCTGTCCATGCCCCCCCCCGGGGCCAGAGCTTCACAGCCCCCCAGAGTGGCAGGGGGCCCTCAGTGTGGGGAAGGCATCACCTATGCCAGACTGGGTTGGAACTGCTGGGTGACTCTGGCCCTATGCCTTGACCCTGCAGAAAGCCGTCGGGTCAAACTCCAAGGCATTCTGGCTGACCTGCGTGATGTGGATGGGCTGCCCCCAAAAGTGACCGGCCCGCCTCCTGGCACACCCCAGCCCCGGCCACACGAAGGTAAGAGGCATCCCCCACCTGGCCCCAGTCCTGTGGGCCCATGGCAGAGGGAGGCTGCAGAGCTGAGCCCAGGGCTTCTGTGTCCTCAGGGTCGAGGCCCAGCCTCCAGTCTGCAGCCTCCCTGCCCCAAAAGTTCGTCTGTCTGTCTGTCTCCCTCTCTTTTTGTCTGTCCTGCCCTGTCTGTCTCTCTGTCTCTTTCCAGCTGTGATTCTTCATCTTGTCCTCTCCCTGTCTCTCTCTCTCTCGCTCTTTCTCTCTCTCTGCCTCTCTCTGTCATTCTCTCTCTCCCTGGCCCTCTCTGCCCCTCCCTCCCCTCCCCCTACCAGGTTCCTTTGGCTTCTCCTCAGACGTCTTCATCATGGACACTATCGGGGGCGGGGAGGTGAGCCTGGGGGACTTGGCAGATCTCACCGTCACCAACGACAACGACCTCAGCTGCGATGTAAGTTCTCTGGGTGCCCCCCGCACTGTCCCCCTTGGGCACTGCGCCCAGGGCTAGCCCCTGCAAGCTTTGATTGGGTGCCACCCGTGTCCTGCTCATGCTGTTTCACAGAGCGGTGCAGATGTAGACAGTGGAGGGACTTGACTGCGGTCGTCGAGGCGCAGGGCCTGGAAGACTCTGGAGCCCATGTCTTAATCACAGTTCCATGGCTCCACCACTCAGTGCCCCTCCCACCCTGGTGATTTAATTTGGGATGCAGGAAGATGACCTCTAGCCACGCCCTGCTCTGCCAAGTCAGGCCAGTCTCGTATGAATGGGCAGTTGGGCTGAAATGAAATGTTCCAGGCCTGAGATATGTGGACGGGCCTCTGGGCATCTGGGAGCCTTTGGCCAGCTGGGAGCTTTTGGTGTGAGTGCGTGTGCACATTTTACTGTGACAGAATGGGATCTGTGTTGGTGACCCTAGCGAGGCTCGGGGGGGCGGTGGTGACTGCTGTGAGATTCAGGAAGTGGGGTCAGAGCAGAGGCCTGAGAAGTGGAGCGTGCCATGGGGTCCCTCTGCACGCCCCAAGGTATCACTCCATCTTGGGGAAGAACAGTGTTCTGAGCCCCGCTAGGGAGGGGTGAGTGAACCACTCAGTAGCAGATCCTCTGGCCTTAAAGAACTGTGGCAGAAGGGACGGCTGAGGCAAGGATGTCAGCTGGGAGCCCATCTTGGGGCATGGCGCTGAGGCTTGCCTGGTACTCTGCTCATCATCTCTCCTGAGCCTGGCCCTCTCCGGGTCCCCCGCTGGGTGAGCGGCACCAGGGCACATGTAGCGTGGTGGACAGAGGCCCCAACACCTCTCCCACCGTCCCTCAGGGCATGTGCAACATGGCGGACAGAGGCCCCCACACCTCTCCCACTTGTGCACTGCCTCTCCCTTCATGGTCACGTGTCTGGTCTCCATGCCCTTGTCTCCCCTGGGACTTCCTGGCCTCTCAACCTCTCTCGCTGAGGCTACTTTTTTTTTTTTGCTTCTTAAGAGAGGATCTCCCTATGTTATCCAGGCTGGTCTCGAACTCCTGGGGTCAAATGATCATCCTAGGCCTCCCAAAGTTCTGGGATTACAGGCATGAGCCACTGTGCCTGGTCTGTGGCTACTTTGACCTGCTCCTAATCTGCGCCTCTCAGGGGTGGCGGGAACAAGCCGTGGCGTTCCCCTGCTCTAAACAGTTCCTCAGCTCCTCATTTCTCCCAGCCTTTTTCTTAGTGTGAAATGCGCATTCCTCTGGGGCTCACCACCCAGCGCCTGCCTCTTCCCCTGCCACTCCCCTTGCTTCCGCAGCCTGTACCACTGACCTCTCAGGCCTGGGCCCGTCCTTGCTGCCTCAGTGCCTCGGGGCCTCTGCACGGGCCCTTTCCCTCACCAGGGCCCTTTCCTTATCTGGTGAGGTCCTGCTGGCTCGTGCTTCCTCAGGAAAGCCTCGGTGGCCCCAGGGAGGAGGGCAGGCTGCCCGATGTCTCTCTGCGCATCTTTAATTCATTGCCCTGCTCATGGCTCATGATCCCGCACACTTGTGGGATGGTCCAGTTGTGTCCCTTATTCCCCTTTGTCTCAACTGCAAGACTCCGAGGGGTCAGGCTCACCTTTGTCTCTCCAGAGCCCAGCACAGTGTGGGGACTTGTTGGGCGAGTGTGGAGACTGCCCAGCAGAGGAAGGGGAGAAGTCCCGGCTGGAGCCCAGGCTCTGAGGGCATTCCTGCCAGGGTCATCTGGGTGGAAGGGAGGGGGCCTGAAGCCCTGGGTGTCAGTGTCTGCATGACTGCTGGATGGATGCAAAGACACTGAGGCGGCTCCCCCCAACCCCAGCTGTCTGACAGCAAAGATGCTTTTAAGAAGACATGGAACCCCAAGTTCACCCTGCGCTCGCACTACGATGGCATTCGTTCCCTGGCCTTCCACCACAGCCAGTCGGCTCTGCTCACCGCCTCCGAGGACGGCACGCTCAAGCTCTGGAACCTGCAGAAGGCGGTCACAGCCAAGAAGTGAGGGCAGCAAACTGGGCCGCGGGTAGGGGCATCTAGGGATGGGGGTGACAGGGTCTCAGTGACATCAGGCTCCTCTATCATCCCACAGGAATGCGGCTCTAGACGTGGAACCTATCCATGCTTTCCGGGCTCACAGGTAGGGAGGTGTCCCTGAGCCTGCTAGAAATTTTGTCCTAAACGCAGCCTGACCCCTGACCCGCTCACTGCCATCCCGGGAGGCACATGGCAGGAGGCAGAACAGCAGGGGCTCTGAGTCCCCACGCCCCTCCATGATATACACAGCCCTGGCTCCTGGGGCTCCATGCTGACTTTCACATACCCTGGCAGCTGGTGCTCAGCACAGCCCTTCAGGGGAGGAGATGGAGGTGGCGTGGGGGAGGGCAGGGGACAGGCAGCTTGTCTAGGTAGCATGGCCAGAGCCCCAGTCGCTGAATTCCTTTTGGCCATCCATGAAGAATGCTAGTAGGAAACTTTGGTCCTGTGGCCAGGGGAGGCTCTGAGCTTGTCTCATCCCCCTTTCCCTATCTTTGTCCCTTCCAGGGGCCCAGTATTGGCTGTGGCCATGGGCAGCAACAGTGAGTACTGCTACAGTGGAGGGGCAGATGCCTGTATCCACAGTTGGAAGATTCCAGACCTCAGCATGGATCCCTACGACGGCTATGGTGAGGACAACGCCGCCTGCCTTCCCCTCACATCTGCTGGGGCCTGGCCGTCCCCTCCATGCACGCACACGTCGCGTCCACTTCTTGCCCAACACTGCAGGCCTCGGGAGTGCGTGTGATGGCTCCCCCGTCTGCCTGCTGTGTTGTGAGCAGCACGATGTAGTGCGTGGCTGAGGGATGAGCCAGCCAGGCTGGGAACGATGGCTGTGGGAGGAGGTGGTGAAGCTGCCTGAGAATCATGTGAGGTGGTGTCCAGAAGGCAGAGCTGGGACCACCCAGGCTGGGAGCAGCCCATGCACAGGCGTGGCTGGCCCTGGCAGCCTCTGCTCTGCCATGCCGTGTGCTCTGTGTGTGGGGATCCACCAGGGTCTCTGTGTGGTTAGGGGGAGGGCATGTCCAGAGAAAGCAGAGAAGGTGGAGTTAGCTGGGCCAGGCTGGAGGGAGTTGGGGCTTTCTCTTTGGAGCATCTAAGACCTAAGTAGGGAAGCGACCAGACTGTCACTCCTGTTCAACATCTGTCCCCCTGCTCTCTGCCACAATTTTTTTTTTTTTTTTGAGACAGAGTCTTGCTTTATCGCCCAGGCTGGAATGCAGTGGTGTGATCTTGGCTTACCGAAACCTCTGCCTCCTGGGTTCAAGTGATTCTTGTGCCTCAGGCTCCTGAGTAGCTGGAATTACAGGCATGCACCACCGTATCCAGCTATTTTTTGTATTTTTGGTAGAGACGGGGTTTCATCATGTTGACCAGGCTGGTCTCGAACTCCTGACCTCAGGTGATCTACCTGCCTTGGCCTCCCAAAGTGCTGGGATTACAGGCGTGAGCCACTGCACCGGGCTCTGCCTCCTCTTGCTCATGTACCTGGCCCTGTGCTCGACCTTGTCCGGGCAGAGTTCAGAGGTCTTTGTCTCCTCTCAAGGGGAGGACAGACTTTAGAGAACAGGCTCACCTGCATAAGGTCAGCGTCGGTCCCAGCCACATTAACCACCACACTTTCAGTGTCAGCAGGCCAGAGCTGCTGGTGTGGACTCCAGCGACCAGGGAAGCAGTGGTTGGACCTCTGAATGACCAGGGGGCTTTGGAGAGACCAGGCAAAGCTCATGCACTGGGTCACGGGCTGAAAAGACTGCTTGGGCCAGGGGTGGGACCAACACTTGGCCAGCACAGGCCGTGTGCCACTCCTGGGGCCACGGAACTATACTGTTCCTTCTTCCTTAATGGAGTCCAAAAAATTCTGTATTGAATTCTCAGTTTCTGGGCCCTGCTTGGGGAGACAGCCGTGAATAGGGGGAAATCCCTGCCTTCTGGAGCCCTAGAACCAACCTTGGAGAGCTAGTGGGCAGTGCGAGCAGCTGCTGGGCTGTCCTGGCAGTGGACAGTTCCAAGGGGCAGCAGGCGTGAAGCGGGTGCATGGGTGATTGGAGCCCAGCCGCCTGGGGCTTGGCAGAGCTGGGGCTCCGGGCTGTCCAGGGAGGAGCTGACATCCCTGACACAGCCCATTTCCTCCCTGTGGTGGGTGCAGACCCAAGCGTGCTGAGCCACGTCCTGGAGGGCCACGGGGATGCCGTGTGGGGCCTGGCCTTCAGTCCCGCTTCCCAGCGCCTGGCCTCCTGCTCCGCCGACGGCACCGTCCGCATCTGGGACCCCAGCAGCAGCAGCCCGGCCTGCCTCTGCACCTTCCCCACAGCCAGCGGTGAGTGGGGGCCCCAGCACCTTACCCTGGAGCTATGCAGGGCTGGAGGCTATCAGAGTGGTTCCCGCTGAGGCCCCAGGCCTCCCACCCACAGTCCCCCACCCTGGGGCAGGGCTGGGTCTGAGGGTCCGTTCAGCAGCCTTCTCTTCCCTGTGCCCTCAGAGCACGGGGTCCCAACCTCAGTGGCCTTCACCAGCACCGACCCTGCCCACATCGTGGCCTCCTTCCGCTCTGGCGACACTGTCTTGTATGACCTGGAGGCTGGCGGTGCCCTCCTCACGCTGGAGTCCCGGGGCAGCAGTGGTAAGGGGGCTGACATCAGCTCAGGGAATTGGTCTCAGTGTCTTGCGGGCCCCACTTCCTCCTGGGGCTTTGGTGACCCCTTGCCAGTCAGCTCAGATGACTCCCCTGCACCCTCGGGCCCTGAGCAGGAAGGAAGTCGGGTCCCAGTGGAGGGCCCCCCGCCCTCACAGCCAGAGCACTGGGGGGGCCGAGTGGGGAGAGCACGTCAGGGCCACTCTGTCAGGCCCTCTTGGTAGAATGGCGGAATGTGTTCACGTTTGTTATTCCTCTTCCCCCAGCCCCAAAACAGGGCCCAGGGGCTGCTTGTACAGAACCAGCACTGCGGTCAGGGATGGGAGTGCCCTCGCCCAGTCCCCCTCGACATCCAGGCAGAGGCTGCTGTGGGGCTGTCACGCTGCACTCGTTCCTCTGTTCCAGTCTTCCTGATTTTCCCCTTGACAGCCTTCCCTCTTCCTGCCTTTTTCTTCAGGTCCAACCCAGATCAACCAAGTGGTGAGTCATCCAAACCAGCCTCTCACTATCACCGCCCACGACGACAGGGGCATCCGCTTCCTGGACAATCGGACAGGTGAGGCCTAGCCCCTTGTGCTCGCGGTGGGTGGGGAGGGCCAAAGGCAGGCAGCAGAGATGCTTGTGTCCCTGTGGGAGGCTCTGGGAGTGTCTCCTCCAGTCCTTCCATTCTCTCAGTCGAGGCTCAGAGTGGGAGGGGAACCTGCCACCCGCCCCTCTCGCCTCAGGTAAGCTGGTGCACTCCATGGTTGCACACCTGGACGCAGTCACCTGCCTAGCCGTGGACCCCAATGGCGCATTCCTGATGTCAGGAAGTAAGTTGGGCACACTAGTCCCACCAGGGTTGGGGAGAAGGGGAGGAAGAGGCCTGGGCACTGGCTCCAGGCGAGTGTTCAGTGGGCCTGGGGGCCAGGGCTGGGGGAAGCTGGTCTGGGCAGGAATGACAGTGATGACCATAGCGCGCAGCACAGCCCACTGGGGCACTCCTCTGGGGCACTGGAGCTGCATCGTCTTATTCTGCCACTAAGCAGCCTGTGCGATTGGTACTTTGATCCCCAGTTTACAGATGTGGGCCCCGATGCCCAGACGCTTTGTAACTTGGCCATTGAAGCTTCGTAACATCAGTCCAGGTCTACCTGGGGGTACCTGCAGGGACTTCTGTGCTCCCACCCTGCTGTCTCTGGATAAGGGCATTGAGGCCAGCAACGCGGCTGTGCTTAGAAGGGATGGAATGGGACATAGGTGGGTGGAGGAGACTGGAGGTGGCTGTGGGGTGAAGGGTGAGGCCTGCAGTGAGTGCAGCAGTGAGTGTGTGTGTGCACAGAGGCGCAGGCGGTGGTGTTGGAGGCTGTGGCTGGGCTTTGCCTCTGGGCCTGTGCTGGCAGCCTCTGGTGGGTGAAGGGCCGGTCAGTGAACTCCAGCCCAGTGCCCAGACAGGGCTCTATTCTGGGGGCCACTAGACAGTGGAGGGAGCTAAGCCTTTGCCCTGCCTGATCCTCTTGACCCTAAATGAGACCTCTCCTCACCAGGGCCCTGCCCAGCCTGCTGTCCTCTCCCCTCTTCTCCCCAAGCCCCTGCTCAGGCTCTTGTGGCCACCCCCGCCTCCTGCCTCAGGACCTTTCCCACCTGTCCTTTTGCCTGGAAGGCTCCCTGCATTCCTCCTGGGGCCATTCTGTCCTCACACGGGGCGGCTGGGTTGCTTTCTTCTTTCTCTTCCTGTCTCCCAGCTGCAGCGGCAAGGCTGCGGGACAGAGAGTTGCCTGTTTTGTTCACTGCCCGCCCCCCGCCCCGGGGCTCAGTGTGCCGTAGCTGCTCAGGAAATGCTGGGGAACGAGATGGACTGTGGACAGGAAGGGACCAGGGTTCTCCTTTGGGTGGGCCTCAGGAGGTGATGAGCAGAGGGTGAGAGAGGAGAGTTGAGCCCCATTTCCCCTGAGGCCTTTGGACAAGGCCAGGTGAGGGGTTCCAGGACTGCGTCTGAGCGAGGAGCCTGGTGACCACCCCTTCTGTCCCCGACCCCTGCTCAGGCCATGACTGCTCCCTGCGTCTTTGGAGCCTGGACAACAAAACGTGCGTGCAGGAGATCACAGCCCACCGCAAGAAGCACGAGGAGGCCATCCACGCCGTCGCCTGCCACCCCAGCAAGGCCCTCATCGCCAGTGCTGGCGCCGACGCCCTGGCCAAGGTCTTCGTATGATGCCCACCTGGCCCTGCCCTGGCCGCCACGCTGGCTAGGGTGCGGGGCCGGGCAGGTGGGGCTGAGGTGAGGGCAGAAACCCCGCATCCTGAGTCCCTACACGTCCATGCCTGGTACTCCCGAGTGTGCTGAGTCCCGCAGTCCAGTCGGGCATCCTGTGAGAATCACTGGGGAAGTCCTGGGCATGCAGGGGAGGGGCTGAGGCCTGAGAGGCGCCCTAGAGGCAGCGCCTCAGTCTCGTCTCCCTTCTCTCTCCCACAGGGGACTCCCAGCCTCACTGGAGGTGCGGAGGCCTGGCCTCTGTTTGCCGTGGAGCCTGGTGGTGCTAACGGCCCTTTCCCCAGGAATCCCTCCCTCACGGCTGCCTTCCCCAAGCATTTAGCCTGGGGATGGGCCCCTTTCAGGAATCACCCCTGAGGATGGCCTCGGGGTTTCCCCCTGTGCCCTGACAGCCACTCCTGGTATCAGAGCTGCCTTCCAGAGGGCAGCACAGCCAGGGCTGGGTGTCTTTAGGGATCACTTTTTCCAAGACTCCAGAAGGTGCCAGGTTCTCCCCTTGAGCTCCTGCTCCCCCATCCCCCATCCTCCCAGACCTGGGCGGGAGCTGTGCTGGGAGAAAGGGTGGTAGCCGGAAGCCTCAGAGCTGAGCCCCGGCCTGGTTGCCCTTCCCCTCTGGCCCTCTCCACTGCTTTCCAGACACTAACCATGGCCTCCAGGCCAGGGATTGCCCAAGACTCCTAGGGCAGCCCTCCCAGCGCCCCACGGGGTCGCCCATGGGCAGAGATGGCTTTCTTATGCCCCTCCCTGGGGCATGGAGGGTGGAGGGGGCCCCTGGGTCCCCCTGAACTCCCTGTATATCTGTATAAATAACGGGATTTTCATGGCGCTGCCCCACCCACGTTATCACTGTGTGATGGCCTCAGTCAGTCTCCTCCCTGCCTCCACTCTTTCCTCTATTTATTTCACTCTTGTTTGGTTCCACCGTGCACCCTTGGTCCCCTTCCAGGTTCCTGTTTATAACCCCCATCCCCTCTGCCCCCATCTTGTATGTGAAAACTTGTCTCAATAAACCCTTTGGAGTAAGATGGGTGACGGTGCCGTCTGTTGAGGGGACTGGGGACTTTGGGGGAGGAGTGACTGGCTCTGCCTGGGTTGAGTGGAGTTTGGAGAGAGGGGATATGATGGGTTGGGGTTTTGTGGTAGGGCAGCAGGGGACGGAGAGGGGCCCAGAGCTTGGGTGGGGTGTGGGTGGAGAGCAGAAGTGGAGGCACTGGACCGAATCTCCTTGTGCCCTTTCTTTCTGTCCCTAAGTGCTCCCTCCCCAGGGGCAGAGCCCTGGGGAGCAGATACTGTGATGACAGTTCAGCTGAAGCCTCAGCCCCGCCTGGGATGTGTGATGTGTGGTGGTGAGGCCAAAGGGCTGGTGCCCCGAGGACATAAACCCCCTTCCTGTTTCCCTCCCAGGCCCACAAGGAGCAGGGAGGGAAAGGCTGCTCCTGCCAGTGGAGAATGATGGCTTTGGGACGCAGGCTGCAGGCTCCTCCATGCTAGGAGGAGGTGCTGCAGGTGCCCGAGCTCTCATGGCGCATGTCCTGATGAGTCCCTCCTTTCTGTTCTCAGTAGTCCATGTCTACTGTGCTGAGTGCTTTACATGGCATTTCACTGGATCCACAGCCTTAAAAAGAGGGAACAGGTGTCCACATGCTCCAGATGAGATGGAGGGGACCGCCGCTCCTGTCTCCAGGAGGAGGCTTCCACCACCTACCAGCTAGGCGTCCTCAGCTGTCCTAGCACCTCTGCCACAGGCCACTAATGCCCTCTTCCTGGGTTGTAAAGGGCTGTGTCCCCAGTCCCCCAGCAGGCCCCAGTGAACATACGAGAAAGGATGGAGGTTGCTGTCTGGACATTGGGGACATGGCAGCGTTTTGCTGGGACAGTCATCTGCCCCTCAGGAAAAAGGGTGCAGGTGGGCAGGAGGCCCTTAGGTGACCCCGACAGGAGCCTGCGTGGGCTCCACGTGGTGTGCTCCCTGCTCATCCCTCTGGGCTCGATGCAGTTCCCCAGGTGGTGGTTTGGGTTTTCACTCCAGCCTCAGACTTCCTTCCTCAGCCCCAGTCCCCGGATGTGGTGACAGAATCGATACTGTACCGACCTCAGCTACCCCCAACGGCCCTACACCAGGAAGAGGGGCTCTTCTGGCAGCCCCCATCCCCAGCCAGTCCTGCCATTTCCAGTCCTGCCAGCATCCCAGCCAGACAGGTGGCCCTTCTCTTAGAGCTCAAACCGAGGCCTTGATTTGTCAATCAAAGGGGTGGGTGGGGCAGCTTCCCTCAAGCAACTTCACTCTGGGATCTTGGGCAAGATCTCTGAGGCTTCAGCTTACTCTGTGTAAACTAAATGGTAGCCACTATTTGATTATTAGCTGGGGAGGAGAGATCAAGCCTGACCCCTGTAGCGGCTGGAGTTTTACGGCAGGGTCCATCCAGCACCCAGTAGGTCCTCACAGATACATGCTGGGTGACTAAATGGACGTGCCCACCCATCAAAGCCTGAGTGCTGGAGGTGGCCACCCCTTTCCGCATATTAGAGACAACCACAGCTTATACTGAACTGCTGCGTTTCCAGGCACCTGTATACCATCGCATCGGTTCCCACCATCCCATGTGGGGTCAGTCCTATTATAGTCCCAACAGATGGAGGGACTGAGGTTCACAGAGAAGCCACTCACCTAGTCATATGGAGAGAAAGACACGCACATGTACTCGTACTCCACATCCCCAGGAGACTCACTCTGCATCTATGAAGTGGTATGGGTGTGCTGTCCTCCCTCCTGGCAGCCCCGCACTGTCCTAAGGCGGGGTTGGGGGGGGGGGATGGACCCTCCCCACCCATCCAGTTAGCGCCATGCACCTTGCCCAGCAACGCTGGAGACAGACCTAAGGCGAGCCCTTCCTACCCATCTGGAGGCCTTGGTCTTTCCATGTGTTAAATGGGCTGGGGCGGGGGGACGCTCTGCAGCACCCCCTTCCCTGGGCTGGGACGCTGCAGGGAGGGCTGGGGCGACGCTCGGAGAACAGAGAGGCCGAGCCAAGGGAGCGGGCCGGGACCTGACACCGATTTCCCACCCTGTCCCCTGCCATGGGCGCCGGACGCCAGCTGGAGAGGGCTCCCCTCCTTAAAGGGTCAGTGGTCTCCAAGCCCGACGCCCGCGACCGGCAGTGGGTGACAGTGTTTCCCCTCCCTGTCCAGTGGAGGGAAAAGTTAACTTTCCAGGCTTGGCTGTGTTCAGGGAAGGAACTGGTCTCGCCTGCCTGCCCTCCATCTCTCACACCATCCCAGGTCCCCCACCCAGGAGGTGGAGGTCCAAGCCCCAACTCAGAGGCACCAGGCCCGCCCTCCCCTTCCGCCCCCGGCCCCTCGGTAGGCTCCGCCCCCTCACTGGCGTCGCCGAGGCCCGCGCCGATTGGTCGACTGCGCCGTCGCTCCGGACACTTCCTCCTGAGCCGCCGCCGCCGACTTAAACTTTGGAGGGGGAAAAAGAGCTACTGGCGCCTGGCGACCCTCCCTGCCCCCCACCCCACCCCGCCGCCGGCAACGCCCCCTTCCTCACGGCTCCTGACAGAACTTTTCTCCAACTTCTGCGATTCGTGAGATTCCCTTCTACCCACTCCGGCCCTCGGGACCCCTCTGCCCATCCCCGGGCCGGTCGGGTCCCTGCGAACCCCTTTATTTCTGGGATCCACTCGGTCCCCGACTCAGAGACTCCTGCCCTCCACCCCCAAGGTGAATTCCCCCGGGCCGCCTTCTGAGTGGGATCCTCTTCTTGGAGCACTGGATCCTGGGATTCCCTCTGTCCCCTTCTCAATCCCTCCGCTAGGGAAGGGGCCTTTGAATCGCGGGCTCTCCTGATCCTTGTGACCCTTACCTACTAGATTTCCTCTTGGGCTTCTTGGAATCTCTCAATCGCTGGGACCTCCAAACCACTACTTTTCTCCTTTCTGATCTGCTAGGAGTCCTGGATTCCGGGCCTCTGACCCGCTACAGTGCCTTTCTCTCCTTCCCAGGACCCCGCCATCCTCAGGTCCCCTCCGCCTGCCAGATCTTTTCTTGGATCCCCGCGCTCCCACCACCTGCTCACGAGATCCCGCGGATCTAGGACCCAGGGTCCCCCGGGGCCCCCCGGCCGGGTCCCGGGTGGGCGCCAGGCGGCCGGTCCCTGGCTTCCCCCCATGGCCGCCGCCCCCTCTTATCCTGCCGGGCTCCCTGGCTCTCCCGGGCCGGGGTCTCCTCCGCCCCCCGGCGGCCTAGAGCTGCAGTCGCCGCCAGCGCTACTGCCCCAGGTCCCGGCCCCGGGCTCCGGGGTCTCCTTTCACATCCAGATCGGGCTGACCCGCGAGTTCGTGCTGTTGCCCGCCGCCTCCGAGCTGGCTCATGTGAAGCAGCTGGCCTGTTCCATCGTGGACCAGAAGGTGAGGGCGCGGGCTCCCTCGATGCAGCTCGGGGACAGATTGAAGGAGGGGGCGCTGGCAGAGGGGTCTGGGGCCTGGTGTGCGGAAGAGGGAGGAAGGGGACCTGAGCATTGGGTGATGGAGAGATAGGGGACATTGCCCCCCTCCATTGCCCCTCTCCCCACCATCCCTTTGAGAGAGGACTGGGCAGGGGTGGGGTGCCCCAGAGGCCTCCCCAAATTTCATGTCCCTGCATGTTGTTGTTTTCTGCAGCAAACAGGGAGGAAGGGGGGGGCAGCCAGGTGTAGAGAGGGGAGGAAGGGGCAGCAGATGTTGGCGGACCTCCACATCCAGGCCCATCCTGGGCCTCCCATTTGGTGGAAACAGGAGAAATTGAACCCGGGCTGGCCATGGTGATCCGGTGACATGTGTGGGTGCAGGTGCTTGAGTTAGCTGCCAGGGGCAAGTGAGGTCTTAGAGCCCAATTGTGCCTTGCCCTAAGCCTGAGATATGTGTGGAGGGGCAGGCACCCCTAGAGACCCTGGGGACCCTATTCCCTTTCCTAGTCACAGTCCTCTTAGCCACTCTTAATTGTGGACACCAGGGTCCCCAGGGTGGGCAGCTGGGTGTTATGGCAAGAGGAAACCAGGTGGAACTCCACGTCTAAATCGTAAAATGTTAAAAGAACAGTGGGCTTCTGTGTTGGAGTACTGGACTGTAGAAATGTTAGAATATTAGAATCATAAATTGTTGGACTATGCATCCTAGGCAATTAAATTGCCCCCATGTTAGTGTTCAAAATATTAGAATTCTAGGTTTGTGAAATAGTAAAACATTCAAATGTTGGAATATGAGATTCCTAGATTGTTGAATCCTAGAAAGTTAAAATGTTAGAATTTTGGAATGCTGATGGATGAGGTCCTTGAATGCTAAAGAATCCAAACACCACAATCCTAGCTTGTCAGACTCCTAGAATATTAAAATATTAGATTACCGCTTGTTTAGGTTATTGAAATCCTAAAATGTATAGTGATACCAGGTTGGAATCTAGAATGTAGAATTCTATAATGTGAGCATGTTGGAGTCCCAAAATATCCAAATTCCAGAATCTTTTCAGACTCCTGGAAATGAATCCTTTGGGCGTCAGAGAAATGTGGGGAACTGAGCCAGCTCCCCCATTCTACAGACAAGGAAACTTAAGCTTGGAGAAAAACTTCCCAAGGGGTCAGGGCCAAGACAGTCCTGGTCTTCTGTGGACTCTCTCTTAGCAGTGAGAACTGATAGAGGTTTTGCCCACCAAATGCCCAAATCCAGCAGGTCCAGCTCCCCACCCCAACTCAGCCCATTTCATGGGAAGCTGATGCAGTGGGGGTACAGGGGCAGATTGTCCCTTGGGTGAACTTCTTTGTCCAGTGCTCAAGTCCCCAGCCTGCCCCGCTCAGGCTTCACCCCAGTGTTATTTTTCTGCCAGGTCCAGGTGTGTTAGGGCCCCGTACCTTCCTTCCCGAGGCCCCACCCGGGCAGTTTCACTTTCTGTTCTACCCGGTTTCATTTCCTGCCCCCAGGCCCCCCAAGCTGAGGACCCAGACACCTGGGTCCTTTGAGCATCGGGTAGGAGGCGCCCCCCTTATCTCCAG